AATTGTATGGTAGAATTCCCCAGAGAATTCTTTATTTTTGAGAGAGGGAGAGAGAGAGAGTGTGAGCAAGGGATGGGCGGGTGGGCGGGCAGGCAGACAGACAGACAGACAGACACACACACACACACACACACACACACACACACACACACACACACACACACAAGCAGGCTCCAGGCTCTGAGGCATCAGCACAGAGCCCAACACAGACCTTGAACGCACAGATCACAAAATCATGACTTGAGCCAAAGTCAGACACTAAACCAACTGAGCCATTCAGGAGCTCCTGTTTGCTAGTATTTTTAAAAAATTAAAAAAAAATCAGTGTATGTAAAGGTTCTGGTCTATAGTTTTCTATCCTTGTGGTGTTTTAGCTTTATTATCAGAGTAATGCAGTCTCATAGAATGACTTTAGGAAATGTTCCCTCCTCTTCAATTTTTTTGGAAATGTTTGAGAAGGATTGGTAATAGTTTTTTTTTTTGTTTTTTTTTTGAGGCATCAGATTCTGGCCTCTTCTTTGTTGGAGAGTTTATGTTTGCTAACTCAATATCCTTTCTAGTAATCTGAATGACTTTCTATTTCTTTCTGATTTAGTTTTGCTAGGTTTGGCATTTCTAAGAATTTGTCCATTTCATCAAGGCTATCCAATTTGATGGTAAGTGTTCATGATACTCTCTCATAATTCTTTTTATTTCTGTAGAATAAGCAGTAATGGTTTCTCTTTTCACTTCTTATGTTAGTGTTTTGAGTCCTTCCTTAGTCCATTTTGTTAAAGGTTTGTCAATTGTGTTGATATTTTTGAAGAATCGATTTTTAGTTTCACTGATTTTCTCCATTGTTTTTCTATCCTCTTATTTCATTTATCTCTGCTCTAATCTTTACTATTTCCTTCCTCTTTCTGCTAGCTTTGTGTTTAGTTTGTTTTTCTTTTTCTGGTGTCTTAAGTTGTAAATTTAGGTTGTTGGTTCATTCATTCGTTCCTTCCTTTCTTTTTAAAACCAGAGCATTTACTGTGCAACTAATCATTGAAATTCCTTGTTTTTAATATAAGTGTTTATAGCAGTAAGTTTCACCTTGCAGTGTTTTTACTGTGTCCTATATGTTCTATTTTTATTTTCATTTGTATTTTCTTTTTTTTTTTTTTTAATGGTTTTATTTATTTCCAGGAGAGAGAGACAGTGTGAGCAGGGGAGGGACAGAGAGAGGGGGAGTCACAGACTCTGAAACAGGCTCCAGGCTCTGAGCTGGCAGTCAGCACAGAGCCCGACGCGGGGCTCGAACCCACGAACGGCGAGATCATGACCTAAGCGAAAGTCGGACGCTTAACCGACTAAGCCACCCAGGCGCCCCTTCATTTGTATTTTCTAATCTCTGTGGTGATCTCTTCTTTGATCCACTGATTTTTAAAAAGTTCATTGTTTAATTTCTATAATTTTGTGAATTTTTCAGTTTTCTCTGTTACTGATTTCAAACTTTATCCCATTGTAGCCAGAGGAGATATTCTGTATGACACCTATCCTTTAAAATCTATTGAAACTTAACTTGTAGCTTAATAATGGTCTATCTTTGAAAATGTCCCATGTGCCCTGGAGAAGAATGTGTATTTGTTATTGGGTGGAGTGTTCTGTATATGTCTGTCAGATCTAGTTGGTTAATTGTGCTGTTCAAGTCCTTTATTTCCTTATCTTCTATCTGGTTATTCTATCCATTATTGTGAGAGGCGTACCGAAGTCTCCAACTATTATTGTAGAACTGTCTATTTCTCCTTCATTTCTGTCAAGTTTTATTTTATGTATTTGATTGTCTGTCATTAGGTGCATAAATTGTTCTTTCTTCTTTCTGCACTGAACCTTTTATTAATGCACAGTCCCCTTCCTTGTCTCTTGTAAATTTTTTTTTTGATTTAAAGTCTATCCCAGATTTCTTTTGGTTACCAATTGCATGGAATATCTTTTCTACACTATCACTTTCAATCTGTTTGTATCTTTGAATCTCAAGGGAATCTTTCCTAGCCAGCATGTAGTTGACTTATGTGTTTTTAGCTATTCTGCCAATCTCTAGCTTTTGATTAGAGAACTTAATTCATTTACATTTAAATTAATTACTTCATTTCTTTTATGTTAAAATGATTTTTTTATAATGAAACATTTAAATTCTTTTCCCATTTTCTTTTGAATATATATTCGGTAGCTATTTTCTTCATAGTTACCATGGAAACTACATTTAAGAGCCTAAAATTATAACATACTGATTTAGATGTATAGCAGCTGAATTTCTATAACACACAAAACTCTGCTCCCATCCAGCTCTGTCCTCCATTCCTTTTGGTTGCTGGTGTCACAAAATTACATTTGTATATACAGTCTTCCCCAAAATACAGACTAATAATTCTTTTAAATATATTAGTCTCTCAAATTATATAGAAAACAAAAAGTGCAGTTACAAACCACTGTTACAATAATATTAGTTTTTGTATTGCCTATGTATTTGCCTGAGATCTTTATTTCTCCCATGGTTCTGAATTATTACCTATTGTCCTTCGATTTCAGCCTGTAGGACCTCTGAGCCTTTACTGCAGGGAGGGTCTAGTGTTTATGAACTCCCTCAGCTTTTGTTTATCTGGGAATATCTTCATTTCTCTCTCACTCTGAACAATAGTTTTGCTGGACAGAAGACTGTTGGTTGACTTTTTCTTCTTTAAGCACTCTGAACATACAGAATTCCCCAACTATCCTGAAAGGAGAGCCTTCCTACAAAACCCTTTGTAAGCTGAAATGGCAAAAACAAAGAAGCAACTAAAGCATTTTGTAGAAGTGAAAATCCTCTTTGGATTTCTTTCAGTTAGCTAAAACAGATATTAATGTTGGTCTTTAAAAAAAAAAAAAGTGAAGTGGTGTAAAGAAAAATTTCAGAGAGTGGGGTGGAAAGCTGTATTGGCCCATTGTCTTCTGGCCTCCAAAGTTTCTGATGAGAAATATGTTGAAAATCTGATTGAGGATCCCTTGTATCTAGTGACTTAATTCTCTCGTTTCTCTGTCTTTGGTTTTTGAAAGTTGGATTATAATGGATCCTGGTGAGGGTCTCTTTGAGTTCATTTTAGTGGCGCTTCTTGGATGTTTATATTCATGTCTTTCATCAAATTAGGGAAGTCTTGGAAATTATTTCTGCAATTATTCTTTCTGTCCCTTCCTCTCTCTCATCTCCTTTGGGGACTCCCACCATCCATGTGTTAGTCTGGCTGATGGTGTCCCACAAATCTCTTGGTCTCTGCTTTACTTTGGTCTTTTGTCTTTCTATTCCTTAGACATGATGCCTTCTATTGTCCTAGCTCCGAGTTTGTAGATTCTTTCTTCTGCCTGCTCAAATCTGCCCTTTAATCTTCTAGTGAATTTTTCATTTCAGTTAAATAGAATTTTCAGCTCCAGACTTCCTTTTTGGTTTCATATTAGGTTTTCTAGCTCTTTACTGATCTTTCCATTTTGTTCACATATTGTGTTCTTGACTTTCTCCACATCTTCTTTTAGTTCTTTGAGCATTTTAAAGCAGTTTTTTGAAGTCTTTGACTGGCATATCACCTCCGTTTTTTTTTTCCTCCCCTGGGACAGTTTCTGTTGATTTATTTCTTTACTCTCAATGGGCCATACCTTTCTGTTTTTTTGTATGCCTTGTGATTTTTTTGTGTCGTGTGTTTTTGTTTTGTTAAACATTGAACATTTGAATCTAATAATGTGGTAACTCTGGAGATTAGATTCTGCCCCTTTCCCAGGAGTTGCTGGTTTTTTTATTGTTTTTGTTTACTGTTTTCTTGACTGCTGTAGACTCTCTTTGTGCTGAGGATCAGCCTGAGATGTAAAATTAAGATCTCAGGTCTTAATAAGCCATTCTCTGGGCATGCATAGTCACTTTATAATTTTCCTTGTATATGTAGTTGTTTTTTAATATCCTAGTCTTTAATGTCTAGCTCTGGAAAGGGAAAAAGCTAAAAATGAAGCAGAAAGGGGAAGAAGCCAGCCCTTTAAATCCTCTGGAAGTCACTTTAGCATGCAGGGAGCTTGCAACAAGGAACAACAAGGAACAACAATGACTGCACGACTCTTTGTCTACACCTTTGGAATCATATGGAGCAATCAGCAATGAGAGGACAGATTCCCAATATTTGGAGGACAGGGTCCTTTTTGCCCACCCTAGCTCCTGTAAGCTGTGTGCAAGCTGCTTCAGGAAGAGTACACTGCCTTGCGGCTGTGGGGTGCCTTGTGAAGGTGGGGCAGGAGTAGCTGCTACTGTGCTAAGAGCTGAAAGTGACTGAAAATTAACCACAATTTTTCATCTAAATCTTCCCCTGGAAGTTACAGGCCTTCAACAGACTTCAGAGCTCCAAAGTAGTTACATCAGACAGATTCTGCCAACGCAATTATTGTCTAGGTGGGAAATGGATTCTTGGTGCTTCCTGTTCCACCATCTTCCCAGAATCTTCTCCTTAAATGTGTAATTTTTAATCTTTCATAATAGTCTTGTACATGAAAAAGACTATTAAAAACATTTAGAAATCACTTAACTTTAGATTCTGTGTTCAGAATCTCTGAAGAGCTACAAAGGCATTTTTACTATCTATGTATGTATTTGGGTATGGATATGTGTATATGCGTTTGGGGGTGGGAATGACAACACGGGTGATTATTTAGGGCTGCGCATTTAAACTCAGACAAGAAGGTAATCTAAAAAAAACAAAAAAAAAAAAACACAAAAAACCCCCCATACAGTTGACTTATTCCCTACAATCCAAAGGTGACTGATCTGTTATAAGAACCCAGTTACCAGTTAAGCCCAACCTTAACAAGTCACTCTAGGAATATAACAATATTTCTGCTCCTGACTAGTGAAATTCCAGGGTTAATTCTTCTACCCTAAAGGATCACAATGCACTCTGGGATTCCCTATTCTAGGTCTACTGTGTTTCTGAAGTTATCTGACACTATCTCTCTGTATCACAAATACTCACTCTTCCTTGTGGACACAGCGTCTGCTGAGGGATCTTCAAGGAAAGAGGGAGACACACTGCTGCTGCTGGCTGACCTGTGCAGAGTTTCCTCCTGAGAAAGGTGGGGGCAGAGAAACAGAGATTAAGAAATTAGTGCTCTCGTGCTAATCACATTTTACTACTAGAGATTTATTTTACTGTGAGGCACCAAATTATAATGTCAAAGGTTCAAGGCAAGTAGAAGACAAACTAGATGGGATCTAAAATTAGATGACTCTGGGTTTGTATCCCTCCTTAGAGTGATGGGACATGGAGCAAGTTTCTCATCTAGGTTTCAACATCTGGTATTTAATACCATCTTTACACCGTATTATTGGATCAGATAACACAGTCAAAACCCAAAATGCTTAACACATTACCACGCACACAGTAAATAGTGGTTAACATTATTATTAGAGAAATATTTAACACATTTATAGAAGTAGATTGGGACCTGCATGAAGGTACATGCTATGTGTCTCATTTGTTGTTGTTAGTAACAAACCCACTGTTAGTAAGTAATGAATAAATATTAATCTTTGTTGAATAAAATGAAAATAAACATTTCATATGAATTTAGGAAAATATCTACATTGTGCAAAATAAAATTTATATTCCTATGACCAGCGAGAAGCGACCTTCTTAATTTATTTTTAATAATAATACCATGATGAAGTACATATTTATTCATGAAAATTTTATTATCTACTACATGACAGTATACACATGAACTAAACAACTTATTTCCATAATATCTATAGAAAAGTGCTAAATATTTTTTTTTCACATTTTATTTTTTTTTGTTTTTTGTTTTTTAATATTTTATTTATTTATTTTTTTACAAATAGTTTATTGTCAAATTAGTTTTCACATAACACTCAGTGCTCATCCCCAAAGTGCCCTCCTCCATGCCCATCTCCCCCTCCCCCCCACGTCCATCAGTCCTCAGTTTTTGTCAGCATTCAAGAGTCTCTCATGGTTTGCCTCTCTCCCTTTCCCCCACCATTTCCGCCCTTCTTCTCCCCCTTGTTCCTCCGTCAAGTTCCTCCTAATCCTCCTATACGTGCAAACATACGATATTTGTCCTTCTCTGCCTGACTTATTTCGCTCAGCATAACACCCTCCAGGTCCATCCATGTTGCTACACATGGCCAGATTTCATTCTTTCTCATTGCCATGTAGTATTCCATCATATAGATAGATAAACCACATCTTCTTGATCCATTTGTCTGTGGATGGACACTTAGGCTCTTTCCATGTTTTAGCTATTGTGGAGAGTGCTGCTATGAACATTGGGGTACATATGCTCCTATGCATCAGCATTTCTGTATCCTTTGGGTAAATTCCTAGCAGTGCTATTGCTGGGTTCTAGGGGAGTTCTATCGTTAAATTCCTGAGGAACCTCCACACTGTTTTCCAGAGGGGCTGTACCAGTTTACATTCCCACCAACAGTGTAGGAGGGTGCCCGTTTCTCCACATCCTCGCCAGCATCTAGAGTTCTCTGATTTGCTCATTTTAGCCACTCTGACTGGCGTGAGGTGGTATCTCAGTGTGGTGTTGATTTGTATTTCTCTGATGAGGAGGGATGCTGACCCTCCTTTCATGTTTTTGTTGGCCATCTGGATGTCCTCTTTGGAGAAGTGTCTGTTCATATCTTCTGCCCATTTCTTTACTGGGTTGTTTGTTTTTTGGGTGTGGAGTTTGGTGAGTTCCTTATAGACTTTGGATATTAATCCTTTGTCTGATATGTCATTTGCAACTATCTTTTCCCATTCCGTTGGTTGCCTATTAGTTTTGTCGGTTGTTTCCTTTGCCGTGCAGAAGCTTTTAATCTTGATAAGGTCCCAATAGTTTATTTTTGCTCTTGATTCCCTTGTTTTTGGGGATGTGTCAAGTAAGAAGTTGCTGCGGTGGAGGTCAAGGAGGTTGTTTCCTGCTTTCTCCTCTAGGGTGTTGATAGTTTCCTGTCTCACGTTCAGGTCCTTTATCCATTTTGAGTTTATTTTTGTGCATGGTGTGAGAAAATGATCTAGTTTCATTCTTCTGCATGTTGCTGTCCGGTTCTCCCAACACCATCTGTTAAAAAGGCTGTCTTTTTTTCCACTGGATATTCTTTCCTGCTTTCTCAAAGATTAGTTGGCTGTATACTTTTGGGTCCACTTCTGAGCTCTCAATTCTGTTCCATTGGTCTATGTGTCTGTTTTTGTGCCAATAACATACTGTCTTGATGATGACAGCTTTGTAGTAGAGGCTGAAGTCTGGGATGGTGATACCTCCCGTTTTGGTTTTATTTTTCAGTATTACTTTGGCTATTCGGGGTCTTTTGTGGTTCCATACAAATTTTTGGATAGTTTGTTCTAGTTTTGAGAAGTATGCTGGTGCAATTTTGATTGGAATTGCATTGAATGTGTAGAGTGCTTTAGGTAGTAATGACATCTTAACTATATTTATTCTTCCTATCCATGAGCATGGAATGTTTTTCCATTTCTTTGTGTCTTCTTCAATTTCCTTCATAAGTTTTCTATAGTTTTCATCATACAGATCTCTTGTATCCTTGGTTAGGTTTATTCCGAGGTATTTTATGGTTTTTTGTGCAATTGTGAATGGGATCAGTTTCTTGATTTCTCTTTCTGTTGCTTCATTGTTGGTGTATAAAAATGCAACCGATTTCTGTACGTTGATTTTGTACCCTGCAACTTGGCTGAATTCTTGGATCAGTTCTAGTAGGCTTCTGGTGGAGTCTGTCGGGTTTTCTATGTAGAGTATCATGTCATCTGCGAAGAGTGAAAGTTTGACTTCCTCTTTGCCAATTCTGATGCCTTTGATTTCCTTTTGTTGTCTGATGGCTGATGCTAGGACTTCCAGCACTATGTTAAACAACAGTGGTGAGAGTGGACATCCCTGTCGTGTTCCTGATCTCAGGGGGAAAGCTCTCAGTTTTTCCCCGTTGAGGATGATGTTAGCTGAAGGCTTCTCATAGATGGCTTTGATGATGTTTAAGTAGGTTCCTTCTATCCCAACTTTCTCGAGAGTCTTTATTAAGAAGGGATGCTGTATTTTGTCAAATGCTTTTTCTGCATCTATTGACAGGATCATATGGTTTTTATCTTTTCTTTTATTGATATGATGGATCACATTGATTGATTTGCGAATGTTGAACCAGCCCTGTAACCCAGGAATGAATCCCACTTGATCTTGGTGGATGATTCTTTTGATATGCTGCTGGATTCGATTTGCAAGGATCTTGTTGAGAATTTTTGCATCCGTATTCATCAAGGATATTGGCCTATAGTTCTCTTTTTTTGTTGGATCTCTGTCTGGCTTGGGAATCAGAGTGATGCTGGCTTCATAAAATGAGTCCGGGAGTTTTCCTTCGACTTCTATTTTTTGGAATAGCTTGAGAAGAATTGGGATTAATTCTGTTTTAAATGTCTGGTAGAATTCCCCAGGGAAACCATCAGGTCCAGGGCTCTTATTTGTTGGGAGATTTTTGATCACTGATTCGATTTCTTCACTCGTTATGGGTCTGTTCAGGTTTTCTATTTCTTCCCGTGTGAATTTTGGTAGTGAGTGTGTGTTTAGGAATTTGTCCATTTCTTCTAAGTTGTCCAATTTGTTGGCATATAATTTTTCATAGTATTCCCTGATAATTGCTTGTATTTCTGAGGGGTTGGTTGTAATAAGTCCATTTTCATTCATAATTTTGTCTATTTGGGTGCTCTCTCTTTTCTTTTTGATAAGCCTGGCTAGAGGTTTGTCAATTTTGTTTACTTTTTCAAAAAACCAACTCTTGGTTTCATTGATCTGTTCAATTGTTTCTTTGGTCTCTATGTTGTTTATTTCTGCTCTAATTTTTACTATTTCTCTTCTTCTACTGGGTTTAGGGCGTTCTTGTTGCTCTGCCTCTAGCTCCTTTAGGTGAGCTGTTAGATTTTGGACTTGTGCTTTTTCTAATCTCTTGAAATAGGCCTGGAGAGCAATGTACTTTCCTCTTAGGACTGCCTTGGCCGCATCCCATAGATTTTGAATTGTTGTGTTTTCATTTTCATTTGTTTCCATATATTTTTTAATTTCCTCTCTAATTGCCTGATTGGCCCATTCATTCTTTAGAAGGGTGTTCTTTAACCTCCATGTTTTTGGCGGTTTTCCAGACTTCTTCCTGTAATTGATTTCAAGTTTCAAAGCATTGTGATCTGACAGTGTGCATGGTATGATCTCTATTCTTTTATATTTATTGAGGGCTGCTTTATGTCCCAGTATGTGATCTATCTTGGAGAATGTGCCATGCGCACTTGAGAAGAAAGTAAATTCCCTGGCCTCAGGATGTAAAGTTCTAAATATATCCGTCAGATCCATCTGGTCCAATGTGTCTTTCAAGTCCATTATTTCTTTAGTGATTTTCTGTCTGGTTGACCTATCCATTGCTGTAAGCGGAGTATTAAAGTCCCCTGCTATTAGCACATTCTTATCTATAAGCTTGTTTCTGTTTGTGATTAATTGTTTTAGATATTTAGGTGCTCCCATATTCGGTGCGTAGACATTTATGATTGTTAGTTCTTCCTGATGGATGGACCCTGTAATTATTATGTAGTGCCCTTCTTCATCTCTTGTGATTGTCTTTAATTTAAAGTCCAGTTTGTCTGATATAAGTATCGCTACTCCGGCTTTCTTTTGATTTCCTGTAGCATGATATATATTTCTCCATCCCCTTACTTTTAATCTGAAGGTATCTTCCCGTCTAAAATGAGTTTCTTGTAGACAGCATATTGATGGATTTTGTTTTTTAATCCATTCTGCTACCCTATGTCTTTTGATTGGAGCATTCAGCCCATTTACATTCAGTGTTATTATTGAAATATGTGGGTTTAGAGTCTTTGTATCTTTTGTAGGGTTCATGTTTGTGGTGGTGTCTCTGGTATCTTTGTTCCTTGCAACCTTTCCTTCAGAGCATCCCCCTCAGGATTTCTTGTAGGGCTGGCTTCGTGGTGACAAATTCTTTCAATTTCTGTTTATTTGGAAAGGTTTTTATCTCTCCTTCTATTTTGAATGACAGGCTTGCTGGATAGAGGATTCTTGGCTGCATATTTTTACTGTTCATCACATTGAAGATTTCCTGCCATTCCTTTCTAGCCTGCCAAGTTTCAGTAGATAGGTCTGTCACCACTCTGATAGGTTTCCCATTGTATGTTAGGGCCCTTTTCTCCCTAAAACTGCTAAATATTTTTAAATGTAGAAGAATATTTTTAAATGTTAAAATATTAGCCTATGATTACATGTGACAAGTAGTGAAAATTCTCTCTGACCTACTTAGTTAAGATGGTTTTAAGAATTAGCCATTCACAAAAAATGGCCTCACCTAAAACCTACTGTTGAAAGCTGTGGTTTCAAACACGCTGTAATACAAAGGATCTGGTCAAAGCAGTTCAAAGAAAGAAGGTTTGAACAGTGATCTCCACACTCTTGGTACACACCATGAAGAACAAATCAAGCAATGTAACTAAAGCTTCAACCCCAGACATGGTGTAGAGGTCACACAAATCTCTGGGAAAGCTAGCAAGCAACTAGAACGACCTCCTTCTGCTTATGGAAAGTCAAAAGGAAATAAAAGCCAAGAGTACCTCTTAGGAAAAGATAAAGGGGCCATACACAGTACTGCCAAAAAATTATGAAGTAGGTGCTACCTTGATTTAAACAGCAGAAACCATCCCCCAGCCTGACCTACCTCAGGCCACTTTCCTCAGAAACATTTTTAAAGTCTGGTTTTACAGAACTCTGAGCATGTCCACACCTTCCACACCACTCTTTACTGATTTCACTTGCTCCCACTGTAAAGAACCAAGAACTTGTTCTGGGGCAGTCAGGTGAGTGTAAGCCAATCAGCAGGAGACAGAGAAGTGGTGGGGACAATGGCATCATTCAAATCCTTTTGGGATTTTCCCTCAAAAGCTGTTGATGGTCCTCTGCCTCTGCATGCCAACCACAGGCAGCTGGACCCAATCTCTCACTATTTACAATGTGAGGAATCACACAGACACCCAGAAGAGGCCACGGGAATTGGAGGTTGGGGCTGAGCAACAGGAAATGGGTGTAGAATCCTGCTCAGCTTGCCCTGTGGTGCCCATTCCCCAAACTAAGCACTTTCTTCTTGGCTGGGGGATCCTGACGGTCTCTTTTCTCTGAAACCCCAGTCTTCTCTATTGCCAGGCCTGCTTTCTAAAACTTGCTTGCCTGTATTGTCTGATGCAGTTACTAGACTGACACTCATGAAGTGAGGCCTTTTCTAGTTCTACATCCTGACCAGTGACTCTTAACCATATGTGCTGGCAGGAACAAGGTCACTTCCAGAACTCCTGCTGCTCCTTTACTGTTGCTTTGCTCCAAGGGGGGCACTGTCACTGAAGGCTGCCAGAATTGTCTCAGAGACCGGTCTGGGCAATTAAAGAATAATTCCTTAATTCTAACTTGGATGAACGTGGAGCGGATGGAGCCAGCAACCACAAGAGCAAACAGAAGACAAGAAGCCGGCTGTGTGAGAGTGTTGTTTGTCTGTCAGGGCCTGAGGGAAGAGGGAGCCAAGGGGCGCCTGGGTGGCTTAGTCGGTTGAGCGTCCGACTTTTGCTTAGGTCATGATCTCACAGTTCGTGGGTTAGAGCCCCGCGTCGGGCTCAGTGCTGACTGCCAGGTCAGAGCCTGGAGCCGGTTTCAGTCTGTGACTCCCTCTCTCTCTGACCCTCCCCTGCTCACGCTGTCTCTCTCTCTCTCTCTCCTAGAAATAAATAAAACATTAAAAAAAAAAAAAAAAGAGGGAGCCAAGCATGTAATTTCATTCCATACAGTGGAGATACACAACACTGATGCTGCAGACAAAGGCTGGGGAGAGATTCGGGAAGTACCAGCACCCTGACTGTTTCTGGAAACCAGGGAGGACGTGAGATCTTCCTCCAAAGGGCAGCAGGGGAAAGATGAAATCTGGAGACCCTTAGCAAAGTTTCCTTTTGCAGACTTATCTACTGGTATTATTACAGAATGAACAAGCTTCACTATGGGTAGGTGTGTGTGTGAGAGAGAGAAGAATCCATGGAAACATATTTTTCTTTTTTCCTTCCGAAAGGAAGGGAAACATAATGAAGATCATATGTTTGCATTTATTTATTAAAAAAAAATTTTTTAATGCTTTTATTTCTGAGAGGGAGAGAGAAAGACAGAGGGGCAGCGTGAGCAGGGGAGGGTCAGAGAGAGAGACACAGAATCAGAAGCAGGCTCCAGGCTCTGAGCTAGCTGTCAGCACAGAGCCCAGCAAGGGGCTTGAACCCACAGACAATGAGATCATGACCTCTGCAGTCGGATGCTTAGCTAAGCCACCCAGGCGCCCCTGTTTGCATTTTTTAAAAAAAACTTATTTTAACAGCACTATAATCTAAGACCATGTGAATATTTCAGAACTTATTCTATTAACTATGGCCACTATACTGGTCTCTACTGAAAAACAATAAGTAATCCACTGTTTCACTTCCTGCCAAAAAAATGAATTTCAATCCCAACTTTATTGATTGAAAAATGGGAAGAGATAAAGCAACAACTGAGGCAACATGATTAGTGAACTTGGTCAGAGAGGGCTGGCATTCTGAACATGGGAGTCTAGATTGGACAGCCGGGACCTTATGGGACTCACCTCAGAGTCCGAGCTGTCCAGCTCAGCCAGAGTTGGGGCTTTGAGGAGCTTCTTCCGCTGCACAGGCACCTGCTGTGCAGCATGCAACCCATTCTCTTTTGTTTGTGATGTTAAACCTCCATTCACCACTGATGATTCCACAACGTTCTTTGGAGATTCAGGAGTAGTTACATCTGGTGAAAGAAAGGCGAAAGCTTACCTTTTCTCAAGCTAAGAAAGGTAATCAGTAGGCTGAATGCACTTTTCTAGGTACCTGGGCTTGGTAGCACACACCAGGTGACATGGCATTTCCATGTCACACAAGTACAACACAGAGGCTTGATACAATAATGCCTATGTATATAAAACATTTTTGTTAGACATTATCTGTCGGATTCCTTTAAAGAAAACCTTTAAATGAATAATTATATATTCACATTTATACATTAGAATTTAGAGCCAAAAGGAATTCTATAGATATGACTGTAACTTCTGTATCTGCCAGAGAGGTTAGTTTTACATCACAGTTTCCAAAAAGCTAGTGATAGACGGACCACAGTGGTGGCATACACAAAGCTAAAGCAGGCATATAGCTCAAAGATTTGAAAATGGTTTAATTTAAAAATCAAAATAGTGAATAATCTATATTCATATAAACATGATCTCAAAGAATCTGGGATACATTCCCTCTGATAAAGCTGATTTATGATTTAGATTATTCAAAGCTCAAATCTGGGTGGGAAGGTAATACAACAGATCAAAGAAATGTGGCAGCACAGAGTATACAGTTATTCAGAGTACAGAGCATAGAATATATAATAGAGTACAGAGCATGGAATATATAGTATAAAGCACAGACTATAGAACACAGAGATTATAGGAATCACAGAGCATTAGTGCATAGAGAGTATATAGTATACAGTACAGACTATAGAACACAGAGCAGTGTAGAGAGTACAAAGCAGGGAGTATATAGAGTATGCAGTACACAGTAGAGACTACAGAGTACAGACAGTACATTTTTTTAGGTGAAAGAGACTTTATTTTGAATATATATATCATTCATTCAATTTAATTTTTTATAGTGCATAGCTATGTAAGGAAGTATACAGAGAAAAACAAACATTAGAAATACCTAAGGATGGAAGCATACAGGCAAAGAAGACATCTGATACATACCCATGAACAGACTTAGAAGCATCATAGATCAGCATCCATTAGAAAAGAATGAAAGCCATGCAAAAAATCTATCCAAACCATGGCAGGCAAGCGCAATCAGTACAAGTAATAGTTTCTCATATAGTACAAAAGTATACATGTTCTTTGGATTGAAAACATAAATAAACGGCTTGGCGCTTATGTCCAAGTCAAAAATCATCTATTAGATGTGGATGCCACATGTGACAATAAAACATTAAAGGCCACAGTATATAGTACAGAGTATTTAGTAGAGAGGAGAGTACAGAGAGTACAGTATGTAGTATAGAGAAGAGTCTAGAGTAGTACAGAGTAGAGACTACATAGAGTACAGAGTGTTTATTATATAGAGTACAGACTACAGAGTATGAAGAGTACAGAGCATAGAGCACATAGTGTATACTGTATGGAGTACAGGGCATAGAGTATATGGAGTATATAGTATAGAGTACGGGGAACAGAGTATATAGAGTATAGAGTACAGGGCACAGAAATATATAGTATAGAGTACAGAGCACAGAGTATATATAGCATAGAGAGTAAAGAGCACAGAGTATATAGAGCACACAGTATAGAGTACAGAGCACAAAGCATATAGAGTATATAGTATAGAGCAGAGTACACACTACAGGGCACAGAGTATATATAGTATAGAGAGTAAAGAGCATAGAGTATATAAAGCATATAATATAGGGACTACAGAATATATACAGAGATATAGTATATACGGTATATAGTTAAGTATGTAGTATAGAGCAAAGTACAGAATATATAGTACCGAGTACAGACTAGAGAGCACAAAGCATTAGAGTACAAAGTACAGATAAGAGTATTGTGTACATAGTATAGAGAACATAGTACAGAATATATAGAATATATAACATAGAATACAGAGTACAGAGTATATAATATAGTAAGATGCAGATGATTTAGGTTCAAAGTCTAGTTCTGCTGCTAGCTGTCTGACTGAGCAAGTTACCTAACCTCATTATCTGTAAACTGGGCCTAACTAACTACACACATGAGCTCATTTTGAAGAATAACAATCGCATATACAATACTTACTACTGTGTGTAATAATGACAACACACAATAAATGTTGGCAATTATTAACACCGATTTTTATCTCCATTTGTAAGAAAGTTAAGGCTCAGAGTGACTTAGCCAGTCACACATATAGTGTGTTGCACAGCTGCTACTTGATTCATTAGTATTATTGATTCTCAAGGCCACTTTTTTCTCCCTGTACCCTGTGGAGCTAATTAGTGCAAGTGGAACTAATTTTCTTCAGTATTTCAAATGAAGTGTTAAACACAGACTAAGTTTAATAACCATTAAATTCGAGCATTTAAAAGGGAAAAAAAGCAGTCACTGCACAATTTAATTTACAGACCAACAACATGAAACTGATCTTTGCACATGAGCAGTCTGTGAAACTCCTGTGGTTGAAGGTAAGGTACACTAAGCATGAAAGTGAAGAAGACATGAATGATTAAAGCTCCTTTAAGAGGAAAAGCACTTGTAACTGCAGTTATTATAAAATACAGTAGTTTCTCTCCCAACATACAATATTTATATGCTTGAAGTGTAAGGGCCGGATTTCTAGGAAACATTCAGTGAATACGTGTGTTCTAGTACAGACTTCCTTGACAGTATTTAAAAGTCACATAAATTATTATCAATAATATGTATCTAGTTTAATATTTACAATTTCTGCTTACTTTTAGAGATGAAGAAGGTCAGAGCACATGTCCTTGTGAACGAGAAGAAAGGGTATGAGTAAGCAAGGAAAGAGGGAGGAAAGGGAGAAAAGGAAGACAGACAGATCTGTCCATCAATTGTTTGTTTTACATTAAATTCTTAATGGAAAACTTGACAACACATGTGTTCATCTTATTACCTTTCCAGATGTTAGGCAGCTGGAGAAAAAACATAATTAGGGAAGGGGCTGCACTGAAGGGGGACAAAAGGGCAAAAGCAGCAAGTTTTTACACAAATTTAAAGGTTGACATATTTAAATAAATCTTTCCTATGGGGGTGTAGAGAGCAGGAGGCTGCCACACCTAAGAGTACAATTAAAAGTTTTTCAGAAAGCAAAGAAGGGAATAATCGGGCTAACTGGTAAATCCATTCTTTAAAAGGTCTTGCTCAAATATGGTCTTGAACATATTTTAAAAGATCTTATTCTATAGTGTATCTTCTTTTATACACTACCTATAGAATTTCTCAAGTTTTTGTAGGAGTTAGGCTTTCAACAGAAAGCATGAAGTTAAAACGCACACATCTTTGTCCTCTCCTAGCTGCCCAGATTCCAACTGCGGTGCTCCCACTGCAGGTACCGTTAGAAGAGACTCAGTCAGCTTTGCGAGGTGGGTCTCACATTTCCGATCCTCCAAGTCAGAGCTTCCCCAAGGGTGAGACCACTAGTAGTGCATGGAGGAACACTGAAAGTTTTAATGGTTATGTATTTATTTTAATGCTTCAGGAAAAATATATCAGATACATGGCTTTACGGATGTTTTTGCTTAAAAATTTTTAGTAAACCACTGATGATAAATGAAAACAATTTAAATAATACTGGTGGTACTTAAAGCCGGCAAAAATAGCGAGGGTGGCATCTGACCTGAAGTTTAGGGAATACTGTTAAGTGACAGTGGCTGCTATGAGTTCATTTCATTCTCAAAGCAGGAGACTTGAGAAATTACCTAAATAGCTTTCTACTTGTCTGAACACCACCATGAGATTGAGAACTATAGTTGAGCTCATTCACTAAACTACTGAAATAAACACCTTGTATTGAATTCAAAGCTTTGATATAAATGGGGTTGATAAAAAAATACGAAACAGGTTTCAAGATGATCTCCACATAGAAGACAAAGCACTGTGTGTGATTTTATCTCATACTACATATTTGTAAAAGACTCAGTTGAACATATTTTTAAGAGAAAATTTTAAGTAGTTTGATTATGGCTTTAGAAGTCACATGCCTCATGTTCAGAATCTAAAATGCATAACCATGATATTAAATACTTTATGTAATAAATTCATGTGTGTCAGATACACCCAACTGCTGAATTATTTAGTTGGAGGAAACAGGACGGTGATACAGATTACATATGTTTGCTTTAAAAAAATAAATTACTTACCTTAATTAATGTTGAATGGATTGCTATGATTTTCCACTAAGCATTAATATTTCTAAGACATACATTAGTAGCAGAATATACTTCATTATATCTTATTCTATACTTAAGTTCAGAGGCATCATCTATACTACATATTTAAATATTTACTCCTTAGTGTGTTAATATTCCAACTTAGAGAAGAATTGTAGTCCAGTCTTTGCATTTAGGTTAAAAGAATGGATCGATCTTTTTCCATTTATGACTTGGGACATTTTAATTGATTAGTCAAAATGCAACAGTGCAAACATAAAAGTAGCTAGCACAGGAAATTGAGAATGAAGCATGTGGAAATTATGAAGCGCACTAAAGTAGCAAAATGATAAGCAGTTGAAAGCAAATACATTTTTTTGCTACTCTTTTATATCAGGGAGGTTAAGAACCTTCTTCCCATATCGGAAGCCACCATATAACCTGTAAGAACGTATATGGTGTGTGTGGGCATGCATACCATCCAGATCAGCCTGATTTATGTCAGCTACTAGTCAACATGTTTGGGTAGCCAGCTGCTCCCTTAGAGTCCCGCTGGTAGAAACATCACCAGAAAAAGAGACACAGTCTCTGTGATATATACTGCCAACTTTGGGAGATTATCAATAACAAATATGTACCAAAACATTTCTGAGTTTATTTTCCAGATCAAAATTTTTACAAGGTTTTTCTTTCTTTCTTTCTACAACATTTATTCTGCACTCTGCAAATGGTTGATAAAATAAAAATTTTCAAATGAATAAAGAAAATAGAAAAAGCTCTTCAGTGGTCAGTCAAAAGTAGTAAATGAAGATTGTAAAATATTTATCTGAGTTTTTAAAAGC